AGAAAAAATTCTAAAGGAAATTTGCAGGATCTAACCTTTAGATTGTTTCGTACATGTGCTCTCTTTTGATTCATAGGATTTTTTGTTCTTAGGATTCATTTGTTTCCAACCTCATGGGGAGAATTCTTTGTTTACTCCCATGTACGATCAAGCATGCAAACAGTCATGGTGTGGTATAGGTGGAATTTAGGACAACCAAAGAAAATTAGTTCTCGGTGCAACTAAATTGCTTGGCAGACTAGGAGTGTGTGATGCGAGATGGTCTGTGGTTATTCCGCGACTGCGTGGTGTTTGTTGGCTAACTATGATGGTTGGTCGGAACTGGATGAGACAGAGGTATTCATATATCAGGCATGTGCGAGAGTCATGGGGCTAAAGGAGAAGCCGCGCACAGGGAGCATCGTGTTGCAATTGGCTAAGAAAGTGGGAGTGGCGTACTTTGTCGACGAGCGATCAGTGAGGACAGGGAGGCGGGATCTGGGTGCGCGTCGCTTTCGATGTGCATAAACCACTGAGAGATGTGCTAGTCTAACCTTGAGGAAGAAGAAGGTGTTTCTTGATTTCGAATATGAAAAGATGGTCATGTTATGTGGTGTTTGCGGCTTGGTTGGCCATGGCAGCAAGCGACATTATCTCTCCGCCTGCTAATCGTTGTTGAATACCGCAGGGAAGAGTACTTTCCGAGCGGCAGTGGCAATAGAGGAGGCCGTGCGAATTGCTGCAGGGGCACAGATGCTGGTGACCATGGTATCTGGATGATGAGGATTTCAAGAGTACGGAGTCCAACCCTGCAAAAACCATGAGTGGAGTGCTTCCTTCTTCGGGCTCCACCAAGAGATGCTTAGGTTTTGAGAATCAAGATGGTGTGAATACGTCAAGGGGACTTCTTATGTTTAATAGATGGAAAGATTGCTGACTTAGTTGATACCGAGAACTTAAACAAGAAGTCAGAGGATGGTGATTACACTACCTCACAGGACATCAAGAGACAGAAGACGAATGAAGCAACAACCATGGACTTGGCAACATTGGCGGGCTCCAATGTGGAGTACCACTAGGCCCCATAAATCACCTAGTTTGGAACAGCCGGACAATTGGTGAGTTGTTGGCGCTCGCTCAAGCCAATGCCCCCAAGCTTGTCTTCTTATGTGAAACTAGGCAAGCTTTCAGTTCGTGTTGAAAGGTTGAAATGCAAACTAGGTAGGAGAGGATTATGTGGAGTAGATGGGCAAGGGCTCGGCGGTGGTCTTGCTTTGTTTTAGGATGAATCGTTGCAAGTAAATATTTTTGATAAATGTGACAGATACATTGATGTGCACATGGTTGACCCTGGGAATGCTACTAATAGGAACTACATATGTATATGGCGAGCCACGAACGTAAAATAGACACCTCATGTGAGAACGTCGAGCACGTTTAGTGGCAATCTCTCATGATCTCACCTTCACGGGGCGGCGGACGACGACGAAGTGTAGTGCGTGAGCGAAAATGCTAGATTCACG